TGCACGAAAAATGGTGAGCATTATGCATCTTGGTGAGACAAAAAAAAAGTTACATTATGACCATACTCTAAAATGTACAGGAAGTCCGCAAATTTCAGTTGAATTTCAAAATGAACGATTTTGCGACCTATTTGAACAAACTAGTCCGAGAGCCTTCATCCGATCATCGCCAACTCAGTGTCAGCGTGTTCTACACACATTGAAGATCTCAGCTTGTGCTCTACATGATTCTACATCATTGGGTGTAGGCGTGGCCTGCTGATCATCGCAAACTCAGTGTCAGTGTGTTCTAGATATGCTCAACACGATTGTACATAAAAGGGCGTGGCCACGGCATACCATCAAACTTTGATGTCCCAGCACGCCCCTTTAACCTTATCAATAGACCTCCCATAGGGGTTTTGTTTACCTACATGCATGACAATTTTTATGTATATCAATCATGTCAAGACCTACAAAACCCAACAGGACATCCGCGATTATTTTTTTTAATGTTAAAAAAATTGCTACACTTTGCATTTCACAGGCTACCTATTTGGACAAACCTGCCACAGGGCGTTCATCCGATCATCGCAAACTCAGTGTCAGTGTGTTCGAGACATGTGGAAGATCTTCCGTTTTATGGGCCACAAGATGGTACATAAAAGGGCGTGGCCACAGCCTTCCATCAAACTTTGATGTCTCTGCAAGTGCCTTTTCAACCTTTCCAAAAGGCTTCCACATAGAGGGTTTTTTCTCCTACATACATGGCAATTATTATGTATATTAACTATGTCAGGACCTACAAAAAATCCTCTTGCAACCATAGTCAGAACCCAAAAGGATGTCCGCCATCTTTTTTTGAATTTTGAAATAATGGCCCAATCTTGCGTTTCACAGGCTACCTATTTGAATGTACTTCCCCGAGGCACCGTTCATCAGATCATGAACAACTTACTGTTAGTGTGTTATAGTAATGTTGAATATCTAAAGTTATGCAAAACCAAGATTTTGCATGAAAGGGCGTGGCCACGGCGTACTGTCAAAATTTTATTCTAGGTGCACCCCTGTAATATCTTCCAAAAGGCCTCCCCATAGAGGATTTTTCACCTACATGCATGACATTTTTTATGTATATCAACCATGTCAGGGCCTACATGAAATCCTCTTACACCCATAGTCAAAACCCAACAGGAACTCTGCTATATATTTTTTTAATTTGTTTGGAAAATTATAAATATCAAGAAAATTAAAGAAAAGGTAACAAATATATCAATAAAAAATATAAATTTCGTACTGCTTTGTAGTAATGAATTACTATTAACAAAACATGCATTTATGATGAGAGTCTATCAAAATATTATACCACAAAGGGTATTTTACACATTAAATGAAAGGAAATTCAGTCCAAACCTCTAAAATTAATTCAATGCTGCTAGCTGGTGGCTGATTTCAGTAAATTATTCTTTTGCCAAGGAATATCCTTTCCAAATTTTTTGACAGAAATTAAAACAGAAAAATTAAAGCAGTTACTTTCAAAGGACAGAAAAACCTCCAGAGGAAGCTCAATAAGCCTTTATTTAAGCCTCTGCAAGAGGAAATAATTTTTTAAACAACTGAGATTGAGCTCAGTATTTATCACAAACGGCTGTTTTACTCCAAACAAATTTACCTTATGAACCATGGCTTTGTGCGTAACAGCTGACCCCTTTAAGCATACAGAAAATTATTTTAGATCATACCTAATCAATATGTCCAGAGATTTAAATAATCAGTAATATACAGATGTGTCATGCATCCTGCATACGCACTTAGACCATGCTACATGCTTATAGTTTGTGAAAAAAAGTAAGTACAGCGATACAGAAATAAAAAGTAGCCTATAGCCAGTACAGGTGGGGGAAAAAAACTTTATTTTGTATGACCATGTTATATTGTGTCATGGCTGTCAAGTTTTGATATTTTCATTATACTAACAGCAAATTGGCTTGTTTAATTTTTATTGCTGAAGAGGTTGCACTTTTAACAATAACTTCAATTGTGCAATCTTTCATACATATTTTTGTCCAGTTAACTTCATTTACAGTGAAATAACAGTTCAGATTGAGAGCTGCATGCAGCCTATTACAAGGTTTGACTTTGATCACAGTATTGATCATTCTCAGGACTTCTTGATTTATTTAATTTTGTTGACATAGAGAAAGAAATTCTTAGCATCTTGCAAAATGTGTACAATTGCAATAATATTGAATCCTAAGTCAGTATTGTGAGAATATCATGCCGCGGGGCCTCTGGTGATTCCTACCCTTAATAGCCAATATGTAAATACAGTAAATGAAGAAGCAATAAAGACAATGATGAGTAAAGTCTGATGGCAATGGATGAAAACACAAGACCACCACAAATGCTGATTTTTTAATTCAAGATTAAAGTCGTAAATTAACAAGAATAAAGTCGTAAATTCACAACTTTAATCTCGTAAATGTACAACTTTATTCTCGTTAATTTACGACTTTAATCTTGAAATAAAAAAATAAAAGAAAGATTTTCATGCAAGTGGGCCCTTCATCATCACTTGCGGTTTTAATTATTTTTCTTCTTCTTTCTCCTCTTGACTCCTGCTGCTTTCCTTTGTTCTCTTCGAACTATTACTGGACTTCAAATCTTGTATATGTGTTTGTATGGAGGTGAAGAACCTTTGTTTAGATGTTGTTGATGAAATGACCTTCTTGAATCCTAAGTTCTTTTCTTTTCTTTTTTTTTTTAATGAAATGAATAAATGAATATATAAACGTCATGATCTGTCAGGCTCTCCGAGCGTGGCTGTCCGTCTGGAGAATGATTCCGTCACCTGTAGCAGCTCTGGATATCCACTACCCACAATCCTCTGGTACAGCTGCCCCGGGGTCCAGGACACGTATGTACAGAGCAGAGTTCTTTTGATATACTATTTATTTATTTATGATCTCCTGTTGAAGCAGCAAGTTCTAAACGTCATGAAAACAATCAGAGAAAACATTCATAACAGCGTTTAATAAAAATCCCTGAATCCCCTCACCTGCTGCAGGTGTGGAGACGACTCCACCTATCAGCTTCCTCCTGCTGATGTGACCTCACAGGAGGGGGAGGAGGAGGAGCAGGTGAGGACACACCTGTCGCTCCCTCTGTCTCCTTCTGATGATGTCACTGTGGAGTGTGTCGCCTACAACCAGGTGGGAGAGTCTCGCCAGGTGCTGTCTGCTCGTAAGTTTCACATTTCAATAACGAGTGGAAAATTAAAAACTACACATGAAAAAGTTTAAAATGTGAGCTCTCGTCCGTCAGGAGAACCGCCCGCTTTCTTCTCCCACGCTCTGATTGGTGCTCTGAGCGCAGCGGCCGGTCTCCTCCTGCTCTCATTGATCCTCTTCTACAAATGGAGACAGGTGAGTTTGATACAGTCTGTAATCATATGATGATCTGTCTTTGATATCATAGAAACTTGTTTTCTAAATAAATCATCTGCCGCCATGTTTGTTCTTCTTCTGTCAGAAACCACGATACCAGATTCGCTGGAAGATCATCGAGAGCAGCAACGGGAACAACTACACCTTTGTTGACCCCACCCAGCTGCCGTACAACTACAAGTGGGAGTTTCCCCGAGATCAACTCCGCCTTGGTACGGGACGTCATTTCACCAGCAGCACGCCACAACAGTCTGCGTTTGAGATATTTAATGACGAGGGTTATGATGAATGTGGAGATCATGATGGAGGAGGATGTTGACGGTCAGCTAGTCTAGGAGGACGGACTGAAGGCCGGGCAGAGGGAGACCTGTCTCTAAGAGGATCTCGATCCAGACTGTTCCTTGGGCTAGACTAACAAGATGAAGGGTAGAGGAAGAAGGGAGGAAGGAATGAGGAAAGGAAGGAGGAGGGTGGATGAGAGGAAGGAGGTAGAGGAAAGTGGATGAGAGGAAGGATGATAGGAAGGAGGCAGAGGAGGGTGGATAAGAGGAAGGAGGGAGGATGGACTTCATTTAACTTCATTTAATATTTATTAACTTTTTATTCTGTTTTATTTCTCAGTAAACTGAACCTCCTCTCTTTTTCACTATTAAATCACACACACACACACACACACACACACACACACACACACACACACACACACACACACACACACACACACACACACACACACACACACACACACACACACACACACACACACACACTGTAGGTCCTGTTCTGGGGTCAGGAGCGTTCGGGAAGGTTGTCGAGGCGACAGCGTACGGTCTGGGAACCGACAACAAAGTAACCCGAGTCGCCGTCAAGATGCTGAAACGTCAGTCTAACGAGCTTCACCATTTTGATTTGATGGAAATAACTTTATTGGTAACATGAGCGTGTACGACATGAGCTCACACAGACTGATGTTTCATGTTTTATTGAACAGCGAGTGCTCACTCAGAGGAACGGGACGCTTTAATGTCCGAGCTGAAGATCCTCAGTCATCTAGGTTACCATGACAACATAGTCAACCTGCTGGGCGCGTGCACTCGGGGAGGTGACAAACATAAAATTATTATCTCGTGGATCCATCTGCACCTGAAAAAAGTGTAATGTTCATTCTCAATCTCGCTCCTCCAATCAGGTCCCATGTTGATGATCACAGAGTACTGTAGCCATGGCGACTTGCTCAACTTCCTGCGAGCTCACACTCAGGACTTCATGGCGTCCATTTTGAGTGTGGATGTGGTGGAGGGCGGAGCTTTCTATAAAAACATGGCCGTCCAGCGGCTCAGGAGGTCTGAAGTTTTCTGTGAAAGTTTTATTAATGAACAGGAAACGTTAACTAGCAGCAGATGAGATGATGAGTACATTTTTATTAACCAACAGGAAACATCAAGTAAAAGTTTGACTTTATTTAAACCTTGAAGATCTTTTATTATCTTAAGACAGAGCTCAGTGTAAGAGGGTTCACATTTAACAGAAGAAGAAGAAGACAAAGACAGAACCCTGAGGGACTCCTCAGTGATCATGAAAAACTGAATTTATTTACCTGCTGAATAATCAATCAATCAAGCAATTGTGTGTGTGTGTGTGTGTGTGTGTGTGTGTGTGTGTGTGTGTGTGTGTGTGTGTGTGTGTGTGTGTGTGTGTGTGTGTGTGTGTGTGTGTGTGTGTGCGCGTGCGCATGCGTGTGTGTGTGTTATAGTGACAGTGGGATCTCGTGCTGTTCAGAGTATCTAGAGATGCAGCCAGCTTTGAGTCCAGGAAAAACATCCACAAGTGAGAACCAGACCACACCTGAACACACCTGAACACACCTGAACACACCTGAATACACCTGACCTTAACTGAATCCATCTGACCACACCTGACCACACCAGAACACCTGTATCTTTTATCTTAGATCAAACCTGTCTCACTCTCTTTCTGTGTCCCAGGTGTGCAGAAAGACAGTTTGTCTATTGGTGACCTCATGAGGTTTTCCTTCCAGGTGGCTCAGGGTCTGGACTTCCTATCCACCAGGAATGTAAGCACACACACACACAGTTAAATAATTCTCTCACCTGTCTGTCTCACACCTGTCTGTGTCACCTGTATGTCTATCACCTGTCTGCCTGTCTGTCTCACACCTGTCTGCCTCTCACCTGTCTGCCCGGCTGTCTCACACCTGTGTGCCCGTCTGTATCACCTATCTGCCTGTCTGTCTCACACCTTTCTGTCTCTCACCTGTCTGCCCCTCTGTCTCTCACCTGTGTGCCTGTCTGTTTCACACCCGTCTGTTTCACACCTGGCTGTCTGTCACCTGTCTGTCTCACATCTGTCTGTTTCTCACCTGTCTGCCTGTCTGTCTCACCTGTCTGTCTCACACCTGTCTGTCTCTCGCCTGTCTGTCTCACCTGTCTGTCTCACACCAGTCAGTCTCTCACCTGTCTGTCTCACACCTATCTGTCTCTCACCTGTCTGTCTTACACCTGTCCGTCTCTCATCTGTCTTCCTGTCTGTCTCACCTGTCTGTCTCTCAGTGTATCCATAGAGACGTAGCGGCGAGGAACGTCCTGCTGACAGACGGTGGTATTGCAAAGATTTGTGACTTCGGCTTGGCAAGAGACATCAGGAACGACGACAGCTACATCGTTCAGGGAAACGTCAGTGTTCACCTCTTACCTGTGTATGGAGAGCTGACAGGGTCAAAATCTTCAATCACAGCTGTTGTTTATAAACTGTTCCATGAGTTTGTGGATATCAACTGTAAAAATCAGCTGATTTGTAGAAAGACATAAAAAAAAAACAATGCAGAGTATTTTTCAGTGTGTCTTATTTTGACACTTCCTGTGTGTTTTATTTTGAAGGCTCGTCTCCCGGTGAAGTGGATGGCTCCAGAGAGTATCTTTCAGTGTGTGTACACGGTGCAGAGCGATGTCTGGTCATATGGAGTCCTACTGTGGGAGATCTTCTCTCTGGGTAACCATGGCAGCTTCTCATCCAATCACACAGCAGCTCTGTTTTAATGGATCATTGCATGACGGCTATTAGTGTTGCATTGAACATCAGATAGGTTTACATTGACTACAGTTCCCATGAGCCTCAGCAGCTGTTGCTTCCAGACCTGTAACATCATAGTGATTTAACATTTTAAACACATAGCCACTCCCACTTTGTCCTGACATTATCCGCCTGGCAACAGTGGAGGAAGCTATCTAATTGGATTCTTCTTTCAGCAATGCTCTCTGGGACATGTAGTTGATAATACTATGTACCTGTGTGCCTACCTGTTCAGGCAAGAGTCCGTACCCAAATGTTGCAGTGGATACAAACTTCTATAAGATGATCCAAAATGGCCGCCACATGGATCAGCCAGACTTTGCTCCTGTAGAGATGTGAGTACATAAATATATATATAAAATAAAAAAAATTAAGTGACAGACGTGAGCAGACAGAATGACGTTTGTGTGACTGTGAATAAACATTTTTTTTTACACACACCTGTCCAGGTATCAGCTGATGACGCTCTGCTGGAGTCTGGAGCCTACAGACAGACCCACCTTTAAAATGATTGGTCAGCTCATAGACAGGCTCCTCCCCCCGTCGTGTCATACTGAACAGGTAAGGACACACCTGTGGCTGATTCCTGAGTGTTGTCTGACGCTTTCATCAACTGAACACTTGGTTTTCTCCTTCTACCTCAGACGTACAGAAACATCTCTGCACACAGAGAGGAAGAGGAGGAGGAGGAGGAGGTCGGAGGAGGAGACGCATTAAAGAGAGGAGAAGAAGAGGAGAGCAACACAGGTAAGTTGCCGGTATGCAGGATGGCTCCAAAGATTTTGGCTAAAGGGAATGTACAGGGCTTTGATTAGGCCCCGCCCCCTTCTGTCAGTAACGGTGCATTCATGTGGTGTCGGACACCTTGACCCTTTCCGAATAGCCACAGTTCAGTATGCAGTACGTACTTTTCAGTAGGGAGTTTCAGTATGCTGAACTTTTGTGGTCATTCAGTATGCATATTTTGGGTCCACCTCAGTATACTGAACATTTCAGTATGGATACTAACTTCCAGATTTTATGCAGTATGGATCAGATGCGTCCTTTCAGGAAATGAATTGTATTTTACCCCCCACAATGCTGTGCGAAATTAAACGTAAATCGTCACGTCACGTCCGCCTCCAAATCAAAACAAACGAGCGTGAATTAAATGAATCAATTTTTAATCTAGAGTTAAAGTCCCGACTGAAATCGCTACTTTTAATTAACAACAGAAAATATAACAAATGTCTGCATTATTATAAAACCTTTCCCCCTCTATTTAAATAATGAATTTTTAAATGCGTCTTTATTGGTTTATTTTATATTCTGTATATTGCTGTCTTTCATTTGTACTTTTCTTTATGTACTGTATGTTATTTAGTTATTTAATCTGCCTTTTACTTGATTTACATTGTGATATTGTTTTTTTTTCTGACTGTATGCACATTACTCTTCTTGAATGAAGCTAAACAAAAAAAGAAAAACGGTGAATTCGGCCGGTTTGTAACGTAAATGACGCCGCTTCCATACTGAATAAATCAGAAGAAGTAGGAACAAATATCTGCCTACTGTGCGCGCCTGCTGAATAGTAGGTACTAAACAGTATGCAGCACGGATAGTACGTACTGCCTACCAACAGATTGAGTAAGTACTTGGCAATTTGGATACAGCCCTTGTATGTAAAATGAACATGAACACCTGCTCAAGTCGGAACAACTCGGAAACTCAAAAGAATGAGTTGCCCGACTTCCCGACTTGACGTCAGAATCTTCACCACCTGGGGGGAAAATATTCTGTTATTGTTAACATACTTTTTATTAATTCAAGTATCGCCCATCAACTTTTTCTCAAATATAACTTTTAACTGTTACATTTGACTGATCTTCTCCTTCGTAGCATCAACTCTTTTTTTGTGTTGTTGTTACAACATTCAGACTTTCTGAACTGAAATCACATGAACACACTGAAGTCAGATGAAAGACTTCCCAACTCGTAACTTGGATCCCCAGATCACCAGCACATGAATGCAGCATATGTTTATATTAACCATAATATTCATGAGAGCGACCCATCCGGGTACTTTGCCCAAACGATGCCGGCCACGCCCCTTTCTAGGTGAAATCATTCCATCTGAATGAATGGCGGTTCATGGAAAAGTTGGGGTCTTTACCGATTTAAAGTATTAAAAAATGAAAACCATACTTTAAAATGGAAAGTATGAGCCTAAATCTGATGACTAGTGATGTAAACATTTAAAATATGACATTTCTGAACAGAGATCGGCATCATAACGGTATAAAATTAACCGTGTACATGAGTGTCTGTTCAATCTCTCTCCGTCAAACTGCTCAAATGAGTCATCAGAGGACTCATAAACTGACTTTAAACACCTGATGAGTAATTATTAACCATGTTACCCTAGAGGGATATTTATTTTTAAATAATATTCATTTGTAATAGTTTCTTACAGTGTTCATAGCTGAAATGCAGTGGTTAGACGTTTATTTTAGAGAAAAGGGGAAATAAACTCTGAGTTATCAGCTGATTTAGAAAACAGTAACATATGTAAAGTCACCTGGATGATATTAAAACCTTTTGTATTCATACGTGAGTGTACATAATGATGAGTGGGGCGAGATGAGGAGTTATATCGAGCTAGCAAACTTTTTATTTTGACATTTATTTTTCATTAAGAGGATTTGGTGTAGTGTTCCTTCATTTAGAGACATATATTTATGTGACGTTACAGTTGAAATGTTGTTAATACGTTAGTGAATATATGTGTGAAGAATCTGTTAACAGAATTCTCTTCTGTCAAGGAGCGATCGCTGCTTTAAAGCTAGCAGGAATGACAGTGGTCCCACAATTTACCACTTTAATCCTCTCTAGTTTCAGTCCAAACACACTGAGCTCTTCTTTTACCCTCCTTTGTCCTTTGTTAATGAAAACCCAATAATAAATTGTGTTTTTAAAATAGTTTGAAGTACAAGAAGCGACGCAATCACATTTAATCGTACGGCTACCATTGTTTTCTAATCTACCGCTGATACATTCTCAGGGCTTGTTTTCACCCAAACGGGGGCGTGGTCACTCTGGCAAGCCGGAAGTGACGTTCGACTGCTCTTATGAATGCAAAGCTTTGATTATGCCCTGCCCCTTCTGTCAGTATGTTATATTTAGCATAATATATGGGGCTTTGATTAGGCCCTGCCCCTTCTGTCCAGAACCTGTTGCTAGGAGACAATTTACCTTCATAAATCTGACTCCGCCTCCTTTATTATCCTCAGAGCGCCATGACAACGAAGATGATGATGGGGCGGAGGGGTCAGGTGTGAAGAACATCTACCAGCTGTCCTGATCGTCCCGTCCAATCAAAATGTTTGTCAAAACTGTAAAACTTCATTGAAACAGTCAGAGTGAACGATCAGCTGCAGAGCGCAAACAAAGATTTCAGCCAAACCCTGTTTGATTTTTAATATTTAAATGAATTTAATTTAACAACAAACCCTGAACAACCACTAATTTTTAAACTTTATTTTGAAAATCCTGAGGAAATGATGTCAGTCATATTTCAGATTAAAAGCCTAAGTAAATGCAGTCGAAACAAGTTAAAGTTTGTATTAATAAAATCTGTTTGATTTAAGCAGCATTAACCAAAAGTATTTATCCTGAATCAACCAATGAATCAATCAATCAATCGACCAATAAATCAATAAATAAACCAATCAATCCACCACTTCCTCTGTCCTCATTGATTTTGTTTGTTTATATTTTCCAAGTAATTTCTTTTTTTTCATCATCACAGAAATAAAATAAATAAACATGAGACTGAGTTTGTTTTTATTGATCAGCTGATTATGATGTCACAGTATTGATTATGGTATTAATAACAGCATCAGAGCCGAGTTATAAGATTAGAATATGATATGCAAATTACCTGACAGGTAAGTGCAGGGCCGGCGGGGCAAAATTAGCGCAGATTACCTGATAGGTATACTGTTGCTAGACTCTGGACTGTGATAAAAACGGAGACAGAACCAAAGTTCATGTGAGATAAACAACATTAAACGAACAGGTGAGACGTGATCTGGAGAATGTTTGATTGACAGGTGCAGGGTTAAGTTTTAGACTTTCAGTCTTTAAAGATCACAGACATGATTTAACTTTTAAATCAGAATGTTGTGATGAATCAATCAACAGGATCAAATATATTTATACCTTACTAAAGACGCCTGAGGCGTTGGTGGACACAGCAGGTTGTTTTCTCACCTGAACAGTGAGTCAGCAGGTCGTAGGTCACAAACATTTTAATGATTTATTAGCTGCTGTATCGATAATGAGCCATCAGTCATTTTCAGCTCAATAAAAGCCAATCGGGGATCATATTCAGACGACACACAGTCAAACACACAGAACACCTGAAGTCTGCAGTAGGTCAACTCTCCACACAGGTGAGTCAGTCACTGATGACAGGATGTGACACCTTATTTTCAAATTGTAATAACAATTGTTGATATTTGGATTTGATGTCTCAGCTATCGGTATGAAGCGCCGTCTGTCATCTCTCGAGTTCTTTCTTGCCGTCGTGTCATCTCTGCTTCTTCTCTGCTGTGTCGCTCTGATCGTGGTTTCATGGCTCAGCCTGCAGCCTGAAGGTAAACATACAGTCTGTGTTTGATCACCTGATCAGGTGTCAGCACAAGTTATTGATCTTTGTGTTGTTGCTGTGTTGAGGTGCTGTTGAGCCGGCGGTACTGAGCGGTCGGATGGTGGTTACAGACGGAGCCACTTTCTCTGAAGAGCTCCGAAACTCCAGCAGTCTGCTCTTTAAATCCCTCGCCTACGACATACAACACCTGGTCAGTTCACTTTGTTTAGAAAGGAAAAGCTTGATTTAACCTCCGACAACAGCTTTTATTATGAAAATACACACTGCAGACTACACACTACAGACTGCACACTGCAAACTACACACTGCAGAGTACACACAGCAGACTACATGCTACAGAGTACACTGTGGACTACACACTACAGACTACAGCCTACAGAGTACACTACAGAGTACACACTGCAGAGTAACCACTACAGAGTACACACTGCAGAGTAACCACTACAGAGTACACACTGCAGACTACACACTACACACTACAGAGTAAACTGCAGACTACACACTACAGAGTACACACTGCAGAGTAACCACTACAGAGTACACACTACAGACTACACACTACAGAGTACACTGCAGACTACACACTACAGAGTACACACTACAGAGTACACTGTGACTACACACTACAGACTACAGACTACAGAGTACACTACAGAGTACACTGCAGAGTAACACTACAGAGTACACACTGCAGACTACACACTACAGAGTACACTGCAGACTACACACTACAGAGTAAACTGCAGACTACACACGACAGAGTACACTACAGAGTACACACTACAGACTACACACTACAGAGTACACTGCAGACTACACACTACAGACTACACACTACAGAGTACACACTACAGACTACACACTACAGAGTACACTGCAGACTACACACTACAGAGTACACACTACAGAGTACACACTACAGAGTACACTGCAGACTACACACTACAGAGTACACACTACAGAGTACACACTACAGAGTACACTGCAGACTACACACTACAGACTACACACTACAGAGTACACTGCAGACTACACACTACAGAGTACACACTACAGAGTACACTGCAGACTACACACTACAGAGTACACACTACAGAGTACACTGCAGACTACACACTACAGAGTACACACTACAGAGTACACTGCAGACTACACACTACAGAGTACACACTACAAGCTACACACTACAGTTTCAATGACCTCACTGTGTCTGTGGAATCACATGATAACAGCCTGTCTTTTGATTGGTTGAAAGGTCTCTGATGCATTCAGTGTATCTGAGCTTCGAGGTGTCTTCAGTTCCTGTCACGTTTTAAACTTCAGGTCAGATCTGATTATCTATCTATTGTTTATTTATTTATTGATCCGGTCAGTTATAATTTGGATCAATGTATTGAGTGTGTGTGTGTGTGTGTGTGTGTGTGTGTGTGTGTGTGTGTGTGTGTGTGTGTGTGTGTGTGTGTGTGTGTGTGTGTGTGTCAGTCGGGGCAGTGTGGTGGTTACCTTTGATCTCTGGTTCAGTCAGCTGGTCAATGCAAAGGAGGCGGAGCAACAGCTGGGGGCTGGGCTTCAGGAGCTTGGGGCCACAGGATTGCTTATTGACCGAAACAGCATCAAGATAACTGGTGAGAGTGTGATGTCACAGTGATGTCACCGTGAGGTCACTGTGAGGTCACCATGATGTTACTGAGAGATCACTGTGAAGTCACTGAGAGGTCATTATTAGATCAGAATATTATTGTTTTTTTTTGTTTAGGTCAGATTTAACTAAAGTTTTTTTTAAATATATAGAAAAATCAGACGAGTCGACGGAGACCCCGCCCAGTATCAAACCTCCACCAGGTGTGTGCCCCCATCATCATGGTCGTCATGTTGAATCTCCTGCTGTAAACTGAAGTATTGATCCCTAAACTCTGATCTGATTGATTATTGTTTTATTGAGCTGTGTCTTTGTTTCCATAGCGACGTGTCCTCCTGATCAGACAACCTGTGCTGATCGATCGCTGTGTGTGTTGATTAAACGTCTGTGTGACGGAGTCAACGACTGTCCTGACGCCTCTGATGAAGAGCACGCTCTGTGCGGTCAGAGATGATCATTGATACTGAAACATGCATGAAATGATCCCTTTAACTCAATAATTACACTTCCTCTGATGTCATCACTCTTGTCTCCATAGCGACCAGGTGTGACGGACAATTCATGCTGAGAGGTCAGAGTGGAACCATCAGTTCAACAGAGACGAACCAGAAACGCTTCTGTCGCTGGATCATCAGGTACACACACACACACACACACACACACACACACACACACACACACACACACACACACACACACTCGCACTGATACAGTAATAAATCATTGTATTTTGAAGTTAATGTTTTTTTTCAGAGTTGACCGAGGACTTTCTGTTCAGATCAACTTCCTGCAGTTTGACATGACCGAAGACATCGACTCTCTGAGACTGTATGAAGGAGTGGGAACAGGAAAACACCTGACAGGTACACACACACACACACACACACACACACACACACACACACACACACACACACACACACACACACACACACACACACACACACACACACACACACACACACACACACACACACACACACACACACACACTTTAATAGTCTCTCTTTAACTCATGTTTCATGTTAACATGTAGCCAGGCTCTCAGGCTCCGCCCTCCCAGGCACTGTGTGGCTGCTGACCAACCAATCAACTGTGGAGTTTATTTCTGATGATGTCGACAGTCTGTCCAGTTTCAACGCCACCTACAACGCAGTCAACATCTCCAAACTACCAGGTAACACAGAACGCCACGGAACGCCACGGAACGCCACGAGATGACACTTCTCTTTACGGTGTGTGTGTGTGTGTGTGTGTGTGTGTGTGTGTGTGTGTCAGAGCAGCAGAAGCTCAACTGTACCTTTGAGCAGGGCATGTGTTTCTGGAGGCAGCAGGCTGATGATGAAGATGATGATGGAGACTGGATTCGAACCTACGGCGCCACATTTCCTCCTCTGAGCGGCCCCAGTGTAGACCACACGCTGGGCAACAGCTCAGGTGAGTTCACCTGTCCTCAGCCTCATTATATATTATACAGATAACATGTGATGTGTGTATTAAACCACCGTCAGCAGCGGGACAGATTCAGTGTGAGGACTACTCTATGATTGGTCGGTTTGTGTGACTGACAGGTTTCTACATCGTCACTCCTCCAAGTCCCGGCCAATGGCTGAAGAGGTTCAGGATCCAGAGCCTCCTCTGACTCCGCCCACGCCGCCCATGTGTCTGAGCTTTTGGTAAACAACAGAAAATAAACAAACATATATATATATAAATAAAGAATAAACAACAACAATAAGCCCCGCCCTCTGGTGTCAGGTATCACATGTTTGGAAAAGATGTCCACCGCCTCAGAGTCCTGCTCCTCCAACCATCTGCTGATGTTACAACTGCGTTCCAGAAAGATGGTAACTATGGCGACAACTGGCACTACGGCCAGGTGACCCTCAACCTGACCACAGAGACAACGGTGAGTGACATCACAGGAAGTCAGATGACTGAGTGGTCTGATTGACATCATGTGATCCTCCGGCTGCAGGTGGTGTTTGAAGCGTTGAAAAAGGGCGGGATGATGAACGACATCGCTCTGGATGACATCACACTGACCATGAAACCATGTGACCCCGCCCCCCTGAACCAACCAATGTACCACCTCCAACTACCCCGCCCCCAATACCAGGTAACACACGGAGCACGCCACACGGAGCACGCCACATACACCAGATAACACACGGAGCACGCCACACGGAGCACACAACATACCCCAGGTAACACACGGAGCACGCCACACGGAGCACGCCACATACACCAGATAACACATTGAGAACGTTGTTGCATATTGGCACAAATTGTGAATCTAACTCTGCCCTCTGATCTGATTGGTCCAGCTGACTGTGGAGGACCATTTGACCTCTGGGAGCCAAACTCAACCTTCAGCTCACCAAATTACCCACAATCCTATGGGCATGAGGCCCACTGTGAGTCCGAGACGTTTGAACCTCACGTGTTAGCTGTGGGATAAACAGGTCACCATATTTACCCATGATGCTCTGCTTCTGCAGGTCTGTGGACCCTCCACACCACCGAGGGTCACAACATCCAGCTTCACTTCCTGGACTTTGAAATTGAAGCTAGCTATGACGTCGTTGAGGTGCGTGACGGGCGGGGCCTAACTCCACCTTAGTGGGTAGGGAGCTGTTCTACCCATAATCCTTTTCACCTGGATGCATTTTTATTCTGCATCAGGTTTAACTTATTTTGTTTTCTAGCTGTCCTCACAGGTAGCAGTGGCCCCGCCCACGATTTGTTCTCAACATCCAATCAGATGACAGTCTGGTTCTTCACGGACAGCTCGGGTTACCGCCGCGGGTTCAATGCCAACTTTACCTCAGGGGTAAACCTTGGGTCACCAGGTCAGTGCAGGGTCAGAGGTCAGAATAGACAGTTAAAATGATCATTTGTGTGTGTGTGTGTGTGTGTGTGTGTGTGTGTGTGTGTGTCTATGTGCGTGCGTTTGATTCATGATTATTTATTTGTGTGTGAACAGCCCCATGTGCAGATGGTCAGTTCCAGTGTCTGACAGGAAGTTGTATCCATGGTAACAGTCAGTGTGACGGCGTGGTCGACTGTCCTGACGCCTCCGACGAGTCTGAGTGTGGTGAGATGATTAATAATCGATTCATCAATTCAATGTCGTCATTAACTTAAAGGAAAACTCTGTCATAGGATGTATGGTACGTAGGGTTGCCACCGGTCCCGTAACATACGGAATATTTTACACTTTGATATTGCGTTCCGTTTTGAATCAATACGGGATGCTGTTTGTCCCATATTTCCAAGATGCCTTGAACTCAGCATCATTCCGCCCGCATTCAGCCGGGTAGTTCCCGCCTCCTCAGAGCGTCCGTTGGTTTGTTTGGTTCTTTTTTGGAATGAGCAATGAGAGCTCTTTAGTGATTGGGTGAGAGGAAGTCATAGGAGTCAAAAGGAAACATGGCTGCCTCTGATACCCGCACGGTGGCCCTTTCCGAATTGTCACAGTTCAGTATGCAGTACGTACTATTCAGTATGGAGTTTCAGTATACTGAACTTTCATGGTCATTCAGTATGCATTTTTTGGGTCCATCTCAGTATACTGAACATTTCAGTATGGATACTAACTTCCAGGTTTTATGCAGTATGGATCGGATGCGTGCTTTCAGGAAATGAATTGTATTTTACCACCCACAATGCTGTGCGAAATTAAACGAAAATCGTCACGTCACGTCGCCTCCAAATCAAAACAAACGAGCGTGGATTAATTTATTCAATTTTTCATCTTAATTTAAAGTCCCGACTGAAATCACTACTTTTAATTAACAACAGACAATATAACAAATGTCTGCATTATTATAAAACCTTTCCCCCTCTATTTAAATAATGAATTCACTATTTAAATGCGTCTTTATTGGTTTATTTTATATTCTGTATATTACTGTCTTTCATTTGTACTTTCCTTTATGTACTGTATGTTATTTAATCTGTCTTTTACTTGATTTACATTGTGATATTGTTTTTTGTTTACCTGACTGTATATGTGCATTACTCTCCTTGAATAAAGCTAAACAAAAAAACAGAAAAAAAAACGGGTGAATGTGGCCGGTTCGGGAAACGTAAATGACGTCACTTCCATACTGAATGTATCTGAAGAAGTAGCAACAAATATCTGCCTACTGTGCGCGCATACTGAATAGTAGGTACTAACAGTATGCAGCACGGATAGTGCATACTGCCTACTGCCTACTGCATACTGAAAGATTGAGTATGTACTTGGCAATTCGGATACGGCCCGTGTGTTTCTTCTCTTCTGGGTCAGGTCATTGTCGTATGTCAGTCGTCAATTTAATAGTGTCTCCTTGTGCTTCCTCGTGGCTCCTTGTTTTTTCATGTTGGATTTTGAAAGTATGTTTTTGTTTAAAGAATAAATCGTTTTAGTTAATTCTGCATCTGGGTCCTCCTCTTAGTTTTCTCGTTCTGTAACAGAATTAACTGACCCAGAGAGGAAGAAACACAGAGACTAAATAGACACAGGGTAATCAGACACAGGTGAAGACAATCAGGGCAATCAACATGGAGGGAAACACAGAGAGGCAGGAATACAATACAAGAAACACTGAGGACAACTACAAACTAAATCATAAAACACTCAAGACACACAGAACTCAAGAATGAAACAAAACACACTAGAACATAAAGAAACACTGAAATACAAAACTAAATAAGACCAAATCATGACAATATCATCTTTTTTGTAATTTTATTGGCTACAAGACAGGTCAATAATTTACATAATCGCTTGTAATTGGCTGGGGCTGTATACCTATGTACCGCTCATTGATTCTGGCACACATTGGCTATTGAGGGGGCTAGGAAAGTTGTTATTGGCTAAATGAGGTAGCAATCGAAAGGTTAGACTTCAGCCTCCATTTTGCTACATCACAATAGCATATTTTCGCTGTATATGTGAAGTATTACAGATAATACTGTGGAATATTGTGAAGTGATGTGACATATATGAAATTATATTACAGCAACTTGTGGAATTTTATGGATGTAATCATGTGTTTGGATTACTTTTCTCACTGGATTTAATTAATGTGGACACTTGCTGATAAAGCAGCACCGTTTTTATTGGGATATTATCATCAGAGATTTATACTACAACTTCTATAATTGTTTGTTTGTTTGTTGTTGGTCTAATAGATGATTATATTGTGGTTGCTGTGGTGGTTGAATCTTAAAATGGTTTATATTTATGGAAGAACAGCAAAAAAACATTTCCAGCGATATATAGCATGTAGCATGCTTCAGCACAGCTGTTGGGTACATGACACACAAAGACGCACACCAACCACAACATGCACGTGGCGGACCGTGCACGGTCTTTGCTTCATGTGTCGTTAATGAATTAATGTTATGTTAAAGGTCCCATATTATGCTTTTTCTGGTTTTATATGCTCTTTAGTGTGTTTTCCAAGTGTCCTGTGCATGTTTAGGCACATCTATGTGCAAAAATTCAAAGTCTGCGGAAACGCAGCTTCTCCTACGTCCTCCTGTTAGCTGTAGCATTAGCTGCATGTAACGCTCGGTTCTAGCCCCCCTCGATAAAAATTTGTCAGTCTGACATCATTGTCAGTGTGAGATCACTGATCTAAGCCCATTGGCTCGTTGTGGCAAGCCCAGCAGCTCATCATGTAAGCCCGTTAACTTCTGTAGCACGCCCACGATATGCCGCAGCCTGCGGTAGCACAGTAGTGCTAAGGTGCTAATGTTTATGCTCCTCTCGGACGGAGACAGTGGCTGCATTCGAATTGTCCCTCCTATCTCCTTTCACTATCCATTTTACCTTAACCCCGCGAAAACGTCATGACGTCTAGGAGAGATGTTAGGAGAATTCATAAAGGACTTAGGGAAAGGCAATCTTGTTGCTCTGACAATCCGACCACATTTTCCACTAGGCGATGTCATTAAATGCGACAGGCCGGCGGAGGTTAATGACGTGGGTCTGCCGTGTTGAAACTACAATGTTCCGAAAATGGACTACAAAAAACGAATCTAAAAAACTCTTTCTGTGCCTTCTTACCGGTGAAATAATCCTAATTACCACGAGGTTGGGATTGAAATAAAAGAAATATAGACCACCAGGCTACAAGTAACAAAAGTGAAACCATCACCTTCCTGTCCACTCAGAAATCAATATCAACATAAATATGAAATTAATTGTTACATGTATGCAAGACAAGAAGGTACAACTGAAGAAATGCACAAAACATTCTGAATTGAATAAAACACCATCTGATAAAAATGTCTCTTATCTTTTATCTCTTACATGATCTGTGTCACTTTACGATCATCGTTAATGTTCGTGAACGGTCGGATGCGCGACTCGCTTTAAATGTTGTGGCCGCAAGGAATTGTGGAACGTCAAATCTCATCTCCTTTCATAAAGGATGGTCCAGTGTATCCTATGCTAAAGGAGGTTATAAAGGAAGCATTGACCCACCTTTCCTTAACTTTTAGAGAATTCGAACGGCTCTTATCATGGCCGCCACTTAACTGCTTCCGGGGTTAAGGTGAAGTGGATAGTGAAAGGAGATAGGAGGGACAATTCGGATGCACCCAGTGGCTGCATTCACAATATGGTAAAAGAGGCGGGACATTTCCGAGAACCGTGCTGAGCAACTGACCAATAACGACAGAGCGGATCGGCAGACCAATCAGAGCAGACTTGGCCCAAGTGGGGCTCTGCAGTGTGGGCTCAACAGAGTGTAGCTGACGGACTCAGAGCATAGAGGGAGCAAGGAGGAGCAGTACATGAAAACAGACACTTTTTTCAGACTTTAGCTATTGTGAACGTACAAAAGTAGGAACATAGATTAAATATACGAACCCCAAAAAGGGCATAATATGGGCTCTTTAATAACTTTATTTGAAGTTTAAGTTAAGTTGTAAATTAAATAGGCCTAGCCTATTTATACAGTCTATACCGATTTATACAGTCACCTCAATGACTGTAAGCATCTTCTGAAGTCCTGTTAGGTGCATACATTACTGTATCTGCCTTTACACTGAAGTTTTGCGCCTGTAAATTATTTCTGAAAAAAAGTGTTAATAAAGCACTTTACTTAAAACTTTAAGTATGACTCTTACTTCATTAAAACCACGTTTTAAATCATGATTCACCACAACTGGTGCCCCACCCCACCGTTGGGCCAGTGGTGGTCAGGCCCCTACTGAGTTTCACCCTGCTGCGGGGTGTCCTTTATTTTTCTGCTTGGGAGGTGGCAAACCTAGGTACACCATGTAAAGGGTCGTCAACCAATTCATCAATCAGTCATTTTTTATACCACACCTACAATTCTCTCTGATACACACACATTAGCTCAACACTGTAAAATATTCAAATAACCTCGGCTAGGTGTTTAACAGGTGTGTGTTTGTGTGTGTCTAAGTTGTGTTACAGATGAACAGTTCCAGTCCTCTCCAGTTTCAACTTCTTTCCTCTCTGCTCACCGTTTGTGCCGACAGCTGGAACTCTCACCTGTCTGTGTTCACCTGTCAGTACCTGGGCTACAGGTAACTCACCTGTCTGTGTTCACCTGTCTGTACCTGGGCTACAGGTACTTTAGCTGTGCTCACCTATGTGGTTTTGTCTCTGTACAGGTCAGGGGAGGCGTCTCTGCTGCCGGCTCAACCTGAAGATTCACCGTTTACAAACATCACTATCATCAATGGAACCCTGCAGACCCAAGTCAGGTACTGAACACCTGAACCAGAGTTAAAGACAGAAAGACCGTCAGAGCCTCAAACTGAATCTTTGACGACAAATTCTGCTCATTTTGTGTTTACAGTGAAACCTGCAGCAGTGAGAGAGTGATTTCTTTAACCTGCGACAACCAACGTGAGAACACTCATAAACACTGACCGTTAAAACTACTCACACCTACACTGATAAACTCTGACTGTTAAAACTACTCACACCTACACTGATAAACTCTGACCGTTAAAACTACTCACACCTACACTGATAAATTCTGACTGTGAAAACTACTCACACCTGCTCTCAGAAACACTGACCGTTACAAGTACTCACACCTACACTGACAGTTACAAGTACTCACACCTACACTGATAAACTCTGACCGTTAAAAACTACTCACACCTACACTGATAAATTCTGACTGTTAAAACGACTCACACCTACACTCAGAAACTCTGACCGTTAAAACTACTCACTCCTACACTGATAAACACTGACCGTTAAAACTACTCATACCTATACTGATAAACTCTGACTGTTAAAACTACTCACACCTACACTGATAAACTCTGACCATTAAAACTAGTCACACCTACACTGATAAACTCTGACCATTAAAACTACCTACACCTATGCTCAGAAACACTGACCGTTAAAACTACTCACACCTATACTGATAAACTGAAAATTAAAACTAATCACACCTACACTGATAAACTCTGACTGTTAAAACTACTCACACCTACACTGATAAACTCTGACTGTTAAAACTACCTACACTCAGAAACTCTGACCGTTAAAACTTCTCACTCCTATACTGATAAACTCTGAAAGTTAAAACTACTCACACCTACACTCAGAAACGCTGACCGTTAAAACTACTCACACCTACACTCAGAAACACTTTCAGAATTACATACTTAATTAACGTTTTTCACCCAGCTGATGTTCTATTTATGCTCTTAAGTGTAATTTAGTATTTCTTACGAGTGTAAAGTTCCATATTGAATGATTGATCGATATGTGTCTGTGTTTTTCAGCGTGTGGCGTTCGTCAAGATTTAAATGACTCGAGAGGGATGGACAAATCAGCAGAGAGGACAACAGGTGCAGGTTTGAGATTAGTTTGAGTCTGACATCTTCTTGTTTGGCTGATACTGGGTTTTTTTCAGTGCAGCTATGCTTATTCTTATCTGTCAGGTGGAGGCAGAGTGGTGGGTGGGGCTAATGCTTTGAAGGGGGCGTGGCCATGGATGGTGTCTCTTTGGTGGAAGGGGCGTCATGTTTGTGGAGCCTCTCTGATTGGTGGAGACTGGCTTCTCACGGCTGCACACTGTGTCTACGGGTCAGACTGAAAACACAAACATTTTATTTAAGCTCTTTAAAAAATCTTAAAAGCACACACCTGTGCTGTCCTGTGTTTAATGCAACATTTTGAAAGTCTCTGCTCCCGAATGAACTGTGTTTTTGTCCTACAGGAAGAACGTCCACCTGACATCCTGGTCGGCTGTTTTTGGTCTTCACGCTCAGAGTAACAGCAGCTCCCCGGACGTTCAGACTCGACAAGTCGATCGCATCATCATCAACAGAGAGTACAACCGACAAACCAAACAGGCGGACATCGCCATGATGCATCTGCAGACGCCAATAAACTTCACCCGTCAGTAAATATGTTAAAAACAATAACTGCAGACATCAGTGTGTCCTTACCTATTAATCACTGTGTCCTTAATGTCCTTCAATGTGTCCTTGTGTACTTCGTGTTAATGACTGTGTCCTTGTGTCCTTCAATGTGTACTTGTGTCTTTGTGTCCTTCGTGTTAATCCCGTTGTCCTTGTGTCCTTCAATGTGTCCTTGTGTCCTTCGTGTTAGTCCTTGTGTCCTTCACTGTGTCCTTGTGTTCTTTCGTGTTAATCACTGTGTCCTCAGCATACAGTGTGTGATTTGAGAGGATTCCTTTAAATCAAACTGTCTTAACTTTGAATCTGAATTCAGAGATAAACACACGGTGTTTAAATATTTAATATTATAAATGATCGTATGAATATTTAAATCCTCGAACATGTGACGTTAGATTGTCTCAGCTGTGAACGATTAATCGATAAAGTTTAAAATCACTTTTTCACCTTTTGTTATAGACTCAGTTCAACCACTTTGTTTACCTCCTGGAGGCCACGACCTCTCACCAGGAACACGCTGCTTCATAGCAGGCTGGGGGAAGGAGGAGGAGGGGGGTAAGAAACACACACACACACACACAGCTGTCTGTCTCTCCCCAGCTGTCTCTCTCTCCTCATCGGTCTGTCTGTCTGTCAGGTTCCCTCCCTGACGTTCTGCAGGAGGCTCAGGTTCCTCTGGTGGCTCAGGCTCAGTGTCAGGTGCAGTTACCTGAGTACACCATCACCTCCAGCATGCTGTGTGCCGGACTCCCCGAGGGAGGGGTCGACTCCTGCCAGGTAAGTCCTTACCTGGTCCCACCTGGACTCTTTCGTCCACCGGTTGCTGTCTTCAAAGTAAATCAAGTTTAATGTGTTTCCAGGGTGACTCTGGAGGTCCTCTGATGTGCCAGGAAGACACTGGACACTGGACTCTGATTGGTCAGTCAAATATACACACACACACACAGTATGAAACAGTGTGATGAGTGTGAGGACAGAATAAATGATGCATTCTGATTGGCTTCTGGTAGGTGTGACATCATTTGGCTTTGGATGTGGACGTCCTCAGAGACCTGGAGTCTACGCACGAGTCTCCGCCTTCACTTCCTGGATCGCTCAGACCAGACGCTTCTCCTGATAATTCAACTCTGTTATCAACAAATTAACAAACAAACAAATAAATCAGGACTGTCAGCATTAACGAGTTCATCACATTAACCTCACGTTTGTCCCTTCAGGCTCCCCATAGATAGTAGTCCTCAGTGTCTCCCTGTAGTCTCAGTGATGTAAAAGAACACTGCTGCATCTTTGAATGTCTCGTTTCACTTTAACAAACTCTCAGACAGCTCAGCTGACGAGTCCAAAGTAATATCCACCTTATGACATCACACATTGACCTTTGTTACTGTTCCTTTGAGCTGTTTGACCTCACTTTGGGATCCCTAACCACTTCCTGTTTCTGTGCTTAACTTCCTGTCCTAACCTTCACTCTACAGGAAGGGCCTTACTTTATTTCAAAATAAAAGCACACAGCAAGAAAAGAAGTCTCATCTTAAAGGCCCTGCCACATAGTGGCGACGAAGGCCACTTGTGGCATGTGTGAGAGGAAATAATTCTTCATGCCAGCAGGGGGCAGTAGTCTGTAATCGTCATTCCAAAACGGGGAAACTGGAAGAGGAAGAGGAGGAACGCGGATAAATAAACCGTTTTTATGATACGAGAAGGCCATTTCCTCACTGGTGTAGCTCAACACTCGTAATAGAGGTACTTTTAATGGAGAATAATGTCTGATTAAAAGTTAAGTCTTTACTTGCTTTGGTCACTTCCGTTTTTCTTCTCATGCACTGATTCGCTTAGCTGAATAGCCAATCAAAGGTACTCCTGTCACCAACCATGCAGACGGCTGAAAAAAGGCCAATGGGGGCCGACGGAGCTGAACACACCACAAAACCAGATCTACGATCGCTCGAGTCAGTCCTTGGTGTGTCAGGGCCTTCAGACAGGACAAATCTTCAGAATAAAAGCCTAACTGTTTTTCTTTTGTTAATGTGAAATAATGGAATGTCAGACATGCGATTAAAACAGCCCTAAAAAATAAATGTATAATAATGTGTAAATAAAACATGAGGTTTATCTTCTCACAGTTAAACTTCTCAGAGAAACAACCGCCTGTTACTATTTCTAATCGTTGTCTGTCAGCTTTATTTCCATCATCACTTCATGAATCTGAGAACATTAGACTATGTTTGGTTCTTCAGATCTTTGAAGGTAAAACATTTGATTCTGATGAATGATACCTCTGTGTTCTTTAAAGGTGACGTGGGATTCTTTTGTTGTGTAAATGAAGTTTTGAATGCTGAGCGTTAAGATAACCTTCATCATGGGAGGGGGTTAATCAACCTGATCTGTTCTGATTCAAACCTGAACCTTCAGAGAGGATGTGGGCCCGATGGAGCCGGAGCGAGAAAGGAAGACTCCAGACGGTCTAGAAATAAAAAGAAGAGTTTGTCTAGTGAAGGAAGTCAAAGAAAGAGGACAGAGGAGGAGTTTGTGGTTGGAATGATGAGGTCACCCAAACAGACGGACTGTTTAAGGACCCTCATGAGGTTAGGGTCTGTGCGGATAACAAGGGGAGGAACGAGAGTGTTCTGCAAAACGACAAACAGAAAAGGCCATTTAAGTGTAGTGGTGTGACTTTCCACTTGGAAAAGGAGGAAGGAAGAAAGGAGGGGTAACGCGTCCTCTGTCAGTGGACGCTGACTCGTTTCTTGACGTGAAGGTATCTGAAGGTTGACGAGGTTTTTCATGAATAAAAGAGAGCAGCAAGCTAATCTGTGTGTTTGTCATTCAAGGGAGCAATACCAGAGAGAGTGTTTCTGGACTATGTCGTCTACAGAGTAAACCTAACACCTAACACCTGCTGCAGGAGTACAGACATGTCGCTGCTGCAGAATGTGGAGATAAGGGAAGTTATGATGACTGTAACACTGAAAAAATAAAATGTGTCATACCTTCACTGCAGGGAAACCATTTCACAGGGTCAACACAAAGGATCAAGGAAGTGAAACTGACATACGCTGAGGCTGTGAAAATAATGGACAAAACAGAAGAGCTGATCCGACATATCAGCAGGGGGCGGACACGAGCCAGAACCAGAGAAGAAGGACACGAAGAAGAAGCAGAAGAAGAGAAGAAAACGAAAAGAAAAGCATGAGAAGAAGGTTATTAGATAAATGATTAGCTCTGTTTTTGTTTTACAGTCCGATCTGATCCTGAACACAAGAACACGTTAAACCGTTCCTGACCGACCCGGGGCGGAGCCGGTTAATCGGTGTCAACGAACAGAAGAAGAAGAAAAACGGGTCAATGTCCCGGAAGTGAAATCATCGTGAAGTGTCTGCAGGCTAACCGGTGTTAGCAGGTACGAAAACAAACCTCTGATTTTAATCTCTTTAATTATTTCTAATCCTAAATTACCTGCCAGACTGAGGACGTCACATGTACCCGTGTTACCACAGATAATTGACAACGAGATTATAGATTAAAGTTCTCTGATATCGCGGCTAATGTAGCAGCTAGCTGTGTTTACATCCTATGTTCATCCACTTTCATACTCACATGCTTATCACACACACACACACACACACACACACACACACACACACACACACACACACACACACACACACACACACACACACACACACACACACACACACACACACACACACACACACACACACACACACACAGACCAACATCCACATTATGGTCCTTTGACTTTCTACGGCTCTGAAATAATAACCTGTCTGTCTGATCGTGAACTACAGACAGTCAGTTATATTGTTGTTGGTGTCGTGGTGATGATGTGATAGGTTGAAGGATCAGGAGGAGCGGAAGGTTTAGCGGTTGTCATGGTGATGGTGTTATAAGGTGTGGCAGGTCGGAGGATGAGGAGGAGCGGAAGGTTTAGTGGTTGTCATGGTGATGGTGTTATAAGGTGTGGCAGGTCGGAGGATGAGGAGGAGCGGAAGGTTTAGTGGTTGTCATGGTGATGGTGTTATAAGGTGTGGCAGGTCGGAGGATGAGGAGGAGCGGAAGGTTTAGTGGTTGTCATGGTGATGGTGTTATAAGGTGTGGCAGGTCGGAGGATGAGGAGGAGCGGAAGGTTTAGCGTTGTCATGGTGATGGTGTTATAAGGTGTGGTAGGTCGGAGGATGAGGAGGAGCGGAAGGTTTAGCGGTTGTCATGGTGATGGTGTTATAAGGCGTGGCAGGTCGGAGGATGAGGAGGAGCGGAAGGTTTAGTGGTTGTCATGGTGATGGTGTTATAAGGTGTGGCAGGTCGGAGGATAAGGAGGAGCGGTAGGTTTAGTGGTTGTCATGGTGATGGTGTTATAAGGTGTGGCAGGTCGGAGGATGAGGAGGAGCGGAAGGTTTAGTGGTTGTCATGGTGATGGTGGTTGCCATGGTGATGGTGTTATAAGGTGTGGTAGGTCGGAGGTTGAGGAGGAGCAGAAGGTTTAGTGGTTGTCATGGTGATGGTGTTATAAGGTGTGGTAGGTCGGAGGATGAGGAGGAGCAGAAGGTTTAGTGGTTGTCATGGTGATGGAGTTATAAGGTGTGGCAGGTCGGAGGATGAGGAGGAGCGGAAGGTTTAGTGGTTGTCATGGTGATGGTGTTATAAGGTGTGGCAGGTCGGAGGATGAGGAGGAGCGGAAGGTTTAGCGGTTGTCATGGTGATGGTGTTATAAGGCGTGGCAGGTCGGAGGATGAGGAGGAGCCCGGGGTTTTAGCGGTTGTCATGTCATCAGTGTGTTCTCCCTGGCGATCAGACACGAGAGGAAACAGGGAGACTAACGCTGCTCTCTGAATGGTCACATCGATTCCAAACCTGATGTCTGACACGAAGTTTGGGTTAGTTCGGACGTTACGCTCTTCTAGTTAAGATGAACCTCACGTCTCCATGGTAACCAAACCACGACACATCTTAAGTTACAGACTAACTGGTTTACACGTCGGGTTTAGTGAGGACTTAGTGTGCTTAGTGAGTCTGTTGTTTTGACTTCTGACCATTTTATTTTATTCAGTGCCACAGACGTTCAACATGAGCAGCAGAGTGGAAAAACCTCGAGAGCAGGAGGAGCAGGAGGAGGACTTCTACGACTGCCAGGAGACTCTGCAGCACCTCGACCTGAAAGAGAACAAGGAGGAGGATTGGACCCAACAAAAAAAAGAAGGAGGAGCGTCAAAAGACTTTACAAGTGACAGACTGACAGACAGAAGGGAAGGAGGAGGACAGGCGCAGGGAGACAGGCTGCAGGACGACAGGCTGCAGGAGGAGGAGCAGGGAGACAGGCTGCAGGACGACAGGCTGCAGCAGGAGGAGGAGCAGGGAGACAGGCTGCAGCAGGAGGAGGAGCAGGGAGACTGGCTGCAGGACGACAGGCTGCAGGAGGAGGAGCAGGGAGACAGGCTGCAGCAGGAGGAGGAGCAGGGAGACAGGCTGCAGCAGGAGGAGGAGCAGGGAGACAGGCTGCAGCAGGAGGAGGAGCAGGGAGACAGGCTGCAGCAGGAGGAGGAGGAGCAGGGAGACAGGCTGCAGGACGACAGGCTGCAGGAGGAGTCTGATTCCGAGTTTAAGGAGGAACCCAGCTGTGAGGTGGAGTTTGATGACGACTACCTGAGGGAGTTGGAGAAGGAGCTGACAGAGGAGGAGAAGGAGGTACCACCTGTTTACCTGTGTGTGTAGGTCATTACGACCTGTAAGACGTTTTGATAATATTATGTCATTGTTTACACACAGACAGTAAAAGCATGAAGTCTTCATGTTGAACCGATTAATTAGTCTTTAATAAACACAATAAATAAAGATTATTTAGTCTCATAATAAACAATAAATAAAGATTATATAGTCTCATAATAAACAATAAATAAAGATTATTTAGTCTCATAATAAACAATAAATAAAGATTATATAGTCTCATAATAAACAATAAATAAAGATTATTTAGTCTCATAATAAACAATAAAGATTATATAGTCTCATTATAAACAATAAATAAAGATTATTTAGTCTCATAATAAACAATAAATAAAGATTATATAGACTCATTATAAACAATAAATAAAGATTATATAGTCTCATAATAAACAATAAATAAAGATTATATAGTCTCATTATAAACACAATAAATAAAGATTATATAGTCTCATTATAAACAATAAATAAAGATTATATAGACTCATTATAAACAATAAATAAAGATTATATAGTCTCATTATAAACACAATAAATAAAGATTATATAGACTCATTATAAACAATAAATAAAGATTATATAGACTCATTATAAACAATAAATAAAGATTATATAGACTCATTATAAAAATAAATAAAGATTATATAGACTCATTATAACACAATAAATAAAGATTATATAGACTCATTATAAACAATAAATAAAGATTATATAGACTCATTATAAACAATAAATAAAGATTATATAGTCTCATTATAAACACAATAAATAAACACATTCGGGTGTTAATCAGTCTGAGACGCGTTCAGGTGTTAATCAGTCTGAGACGCGTTCAGGTGTTAATCAGTCTGAGATGCGTTCAGGTGTTAATCAGTCTGAGATGCATTCAGGTGTTAATCAGTCTGAGACCCGTTCAGGTGTTAATCAGTCTGAGATGCATTCAGGTGTTAATCAGTCTGAGATGCATTCGGGTGTAAATCAGAGCTTCAGGTTGACGTGCACTCTGTTTCTGTTCTTTTGTTTCAGGGTCGACGGCAGCAGAGTTTAACCCTGAAGGAAAGAGGAAACATTCAGTTTAAATCTGGAGGTGAGTGACATCATTTTCAGTATGTCAACCAGTACAAAACAGTATTGACCAGTATAACCCAGAGTTACCTCATGTTCCTGCAGACTGGGAGGAGGCTGAGCGGAGCTATAAGGAGGCGCTGGTTTTATGTCCCGTCTGTTTCAGCAGAGAGAGAGCTGTGCTGTTCTCCAACAGAGCTGCAGCCAGACTGCACCTGGTACATGCTAACAACATGCTAACTACATGCATAAGAAATGCTAATCACATGCAGAGGGAACGCTAACCACATGCAGAGGGAACGCTAACAACATGCAGAAAGAATGCTAACTACATGCAGACAGAATGATAACTACATGCAGACAGAATGATAACTACATGCAGACAGAATGCTAACTACACACTAACAACATGCTAACTGTATCGCCTGTGTCTGTTTCTCAGGACCAGAAAGATCAGGCGATCTCAGACTGTAGCAAAGGTGAGTGATGACATCATTCTTTACCTATACAGCGTTCAAGCATCTCTGATTCGTTTGTTTGTTGATTGGACGTATTGTTACCATAGCAATAGAACTGAATCCAGACTACATGAGGGCGTTGCTGAGGAGGGCAGAGCTTTACGAGCAGACGGAGAAGCTGGACGAGGCCCTGGAGGACTACAAGAAGGTTCTGGACCTGGACCCAACCCACACTACCGCCAGACAGGCCTGCATGGTGAGTTCACTGACCGCTGGGACAAAAAGAGATGAAGAATCGCAGTCATGAGTTAAAGTTTAAAAAAAGACAGATATCATCACAATGCTGACTGCAACTGTCTCTCTCTCTCTGTACCTGTCTCTCTCTCTGCGTGCCTGTCTGTCTCTCTATCTGTATCTGTCTGTCTCTCTATCTGTATCTGTCTGTCTCTCTCTGTACCTGTCTGCCTCTCTCTCTGTATGTGTCTGTCTCTCTCTCTGCATCTGTCTGTCTCTCTCTGTATTTGTCTGTCTGTCTCTTTCTCTGTACCTGTCTCTCTTTCTCTGTACCTGTCTCTCTTCTCTGTACCTGTCTGTCTGTCTCTCTTTCTATACCTGTCTGCCTCTCTCTCTGTACCTGTCTGTCTGTCTCTCTTTCTGTACCTGTCTGCCTCTCTCTCTGTACCTGTCTGTCTCTCTCTCTGTACCTGTCTGTGTCTCTCTCTGTACCTGTCTCTCTCTCTCTGTACCTGTCTGTGTCTCTTTATGAACCTGTCTGTATCTCTCTGTACCTGTCTCTTTCTCTGTACCTGTCTGTCTGTCTCTCTCTCTCTGTACCTGTCTGTGTCTCTCTATCTCTGTACCTGTCTGTGTCTCTTTATGAACCTGTCTGTATCTCTCTGTACCTGTCTGTCTCTCAGAGGTTACCTGGGCAGATTCAGGAGAGGAACGAGAAGTTGAAGGAGGAGATGATAAGTACGTACTGCACCTGAACACACCATCTTAAAGTAACAGTACAAAGTTTATGTGTTACAATGAGTGAGTCTTATTGTGAAGGTGTGTTTACCTGAATGACTTCCTATCTCAGGTAAATTGAAGGATCTGGGAAATCTGGTCCTGAGACCGTTTGGACTTTCAACCAACAACTTCCAGGTGAACCAGGACGCCTCCACGGGGTCCTACTCCATCAACTTCGTCCAGAGCTCCGGCGGCAACAACAACAACACATGATGTCACACAGAGCTGTCAGGTGTGGGTGTGTACCTGTGTGTTTAAATAAAAGCTGATTATTTGTTTATCTGTTTGTGTTGTTTTTTACGAGGCAGAAGGGTACACACCTGAGCTCTGAACGGTTACCATGGCGGGATAATCGGTTACCGTGGTAACTCCGGGGTTAAAATCTGTGTTTTCAGCTCACTTCCTATCAGGGTAGATCACCATGTTAACTGATGCTGACTACATCAGTGCTAAACCTCAACCTGTGAGAGACTCTGCTCATGGACCAATCAGATCCCTTTATGACAGAGGTCTGATTATGAGGGGGAGAGAGAGACTGAGTGTGTGTTTGAGTTTCATATCAAATATATGATGGTGATGGATTTTAGACTGCTGTCTTGTGACAGACTAAACACTGAAGATACACTGAACATTAGGGCTGGGAATCTCTGGGTGCCTCATGATTCGATTCAAAACGATTCTGGATTCAAAGTCTAATTATGAATGAGTACATACTTCAGGATCCACTCCAGTCATCTGTGAGATCGGCTGAGTTGCTCTACTCAGCGTTCTACTGAGTTAAAGAGATAGCATTAGCACTTAGCATGGAGTGACTGATTAGCCAAAAAAAACGAAGAAAGTTATGAATAGATTTTAAATCTTAGAATCTGGATTTTTACGTAAATTGATTTTTTTCCCCATCTCGACTGAATATTGTTTCATATTAAGCTGTGAAGTGTGGGGCGCTGGTGGCACATGTATGGAGGCCATGGTCTTCCAAGTGGGCGGCCCGGGTTTGAATCCAGCCTGTGGCTCCCCTCTTGCATGTCATTCCCCACTCTCTCGCTCTCTGATTTCTGGCTTCATCCACTGTCCTATCTCTCAATTAAAGGCACAAAAAGCCCCAAAAATAATCTTTAAAAAAAAATGTATATCTTTATTTAGTTGAACGGATCCGAGTCTTCTGCCACCTGCTGGCAGTTTGTACAAACATCACCTGTATGCGAAGAGAACCATTTACACGCATGACCACATGGCGTTTGTAACGACACATCAGACGTCACGCTGAAGTAAGGTTTGTATTTGTTTTAAAACACAAACAGATTTTAAATAAAGACAAACTGAAGACGACTTCAACCCAACTCGTCTTCGGTTTCTTTCATTTAAAGCAACACTCTAACTCCTCCTTCAGTCGACTCAAAGTTGTTCTAATAGAACAATAACCTCCAACAGGGAGAATGGCGTCTCTCTCACCTGTCCACAGAGCGCCCTGCTCGCCTGTTTTCAGCACTATGGGCGCGGTCACACTGGCCATCTGCACCGTGCCCTACTCAAGCACGACTGGCCCCCCTGCTGCCCCAATCCCACGCTGGCAGGTCACACTGCACAGGACTAACCATGCCTAAGCACGATTACATCTTGTACATAACGTCGTAATATAACACATGCATGCTTTATGTTATTATGAAGCATAATTAATAATATAACGTATAAATATAAAATAATATAATTAATATAACGTCTGGATGTTGTTTAAAAAAGTTAAAGCGCTTTAAATTATGTTTCTCCATCAACACACACACACAGAAGTGAAGCTTCCACATTTTAATAAGAACAAACAAATACAGGTTACAGATTGTTGATCATATCTGACAGGTGTGTGTGGTGTGTGTGTGTCTCCGTGCTATTGCTGAGTCATCATTGGGCTCTCCTGGACAGCAGCATTTCTCTGATGTTGTCTTCTGCTTCCTTCACGCTGCGTTCAAGGTACACCTTCTTCTGCTGGAAATCACAGTACTTAAAGTTAGACCAATTAACACACACACACACACACAAACACACGGTAAACAGTGTCTATCTCTGTGTACTTTCTGTATTTGTACCTCCAGTTCTTTTATTTTCTCGTCAGCTGTTTTCTGTTTGTCTGTCAGCTGATTGTTGATTTCCTCCTTCGACTGCAAGATGAACCTGAAACACACATGATACTTAATGATGACAGTATTTTTTCAATGTCTAGGTTAACAAAGATCCTGGTTGTCATGGAGACTTACATGCGTCCGACTCCCTCGTACAGTCGCGTGTTGTCAGGTAGCGTGGTGATCTCAGTGTGAGTTAACTTAGCATGTTTCTGAAGCCGAGTCAGCTGATCGATCTGCAGGTCGGCCAACTTCACCTTCTGCTGAGTGTCGATCATCTTCACCTGCAGCTCTGTGAACGCCTACAACAGGGAGGTATCACTCTGTTTAACAACCTGAACAATGCTCAGCTACAGCTCTCTGAACGCCTACAACAGGGAGGTACCACTCTGTTTAAAAACATACCAACAATGCTCACCTGCAGCTCTCTGAACGCCTACAACAGGGAGGTATCACTCTGTTTAACAACCTGAACAATGCTCAGCTACAGCTCTCTGAACGCCTACAACAGGGAGGTACCACTCTGTTTAAAAACATACCAACAATGCTCACCTGCAGCCCTCTGAACACCTACAACAGGGAGGTATCACTCTGTTTAACAACCTGAACAATGCTCAGCTACAGCTCTCTGAACGCCTACAACAGGGAGGTACCACTCTGTTTAAAAACATACCAACAATGCTCACCTGCAGCCCTCTAAACACCTACAACAGGGAGGTATCACTCTGTTTAACAACCTGAACAATGCTCAGCTACAGCTCTCTGAACGCCTACAACAGGGAGGTACCACTCTGTTTAAAACATACCAACAATGCTCACCTGCAGCTCTCTTGACGCCTACAACAGGGAGGTACCACTCTGTTTAAAAACATACCAACAATGCTCACCTACAGCTCTCTTAACGCCTACAACAGGGAGGTACCACTCTGTTTAAAAACATACCAACAATGCTCACCTACAGCTCTCTTAACGCCTACAACAGGGAGGTACCACTCTGTTTAAAAACATACCAACAATGCTCACCTGCAGCTCTCTTAACGCCTACAACAGGGAGGTACCACTCTGTTTAGAAACACCTGAAATGTTCAGTCGCGCGTGGCAGAGTCTTAGCTCCTCTTGCTAACAGTTAGCTCTAATGTTGCTAACGCTGCAGCTAACCGGCTGTTCTTTGTCCGCCGCTGCTCCTTACGATACACAGAGAGCACACAGACACACAGACACACAGACAGACAGGTAAACCCTGATTACTCTGTTACCTTCTTCAGCTCTAGATCAATGGGCGCAGCCATCTTAATGAACGATCCAAAATTACGCACTGCGCATGTGCGAGAACGAAAGCCTTCATGGTCTCCTTCTTTAGTTAGTGGTGACGGCTCGCTCTCTCTCCGAAATTATTAATTTATTTTCTAAAATATTATTTCATATATTTTTATCTGATTCTTTCTTCACATTACCTGTAATAGTAATCTGCATGATTTTAAGTTTATTTGTAAATGAAAACATATTCTATGCTCGAGTTAAATCCCACCCCCGGAAGTGGAAGTCTTTGCGCGCGGGATTCAAGAGAAGAACAGCGCGCGACCAGCAGTTCGCGGTTAGTCGGCTCGGTCGGTTTTCCTCGCGCGGAGCACCGTCAGAGAAAACAAACAAACAAATAAATAAACAAACAGCCGTGAGAAGAAAGGAGGCAAACATGGCGACTCCCCCGAAGAGATCGTGTCGTGTTCCCGCCAGAGGGAAGAAGATTTCCATCGAGGGAAACATCGGTGAGTTCAGCAACCTTCAGCCTGCAGACAGAGTTAAACCCGTTAAACCGCCCGTCCTCCCGGTGAACACAGACCCGTCCTCCCGGTGAACACAGACCCGTCCTCCCGGTGAACACAGACCCGTCCTCCCGGTGAACACAGACCCGTCCTCCCGGTAAACACAGACCCGTCCTCCCGGTAAATACAGACCCGTCCTCCCGGTGAACACAGACCCGTCCTCCCGGTGAACATAGACCCGTCCTCCCGGTATACACAGACCCGTCCTCCCGGTAAACACAGACCCGTCCTCCCGGTAAATACAGACCCGTCCTCCCGGTAAACACAGACCCGTCCTCCCGGTGAACACAGACCCGTCCTCCCGGTAAACACAGACCCGTCCTCCCGGTATACACAGACCCGTCCTCCCGGTAAACACAGACCCGTCCTCCCGGTATACACAGACCCGTCCTCCCGGTGAACACAGACCCGTCCTCCCGGTATACACAGACCCGTCCTCCCGGTAAATACAGACCCGTCCTCCCGGTATACACAGACCCGTCCTCCCGGTGAACACAGACCCGTCCTCCCGGTGAACACAGACCCGTCCTCCCGGTGAACACAGACCCGTCCTCCCGGTGAACACAGACCGAGCAGCTATCCATCAACACGATCGCGCCAAATTACTAAACACCGATCACCATGTTTCTACGAATAATCGATAACCTGTCAGGTGTTCTCCTCTCGTTATGTGTCTCACTGAGTTGACTGTAATCAAACTATTAGTTCAGTATAGTGAGAGCAGAGAAACACAAACACTCAGCGGGCTGCTCTGCTAAACACTGTAATAAATATACTCTCTCTCTCTCTCTCTCAGCTGCAGGCAAGTCTACCTTTGTGCGTCTTCTGCAGGGGGCCTCAGAGGACTGGGAGGTGATTCCTGAGCCCATTGGGAAATGGTGCAACGTCCACAATGACAGTGAAGACGTTTACCAGGTAAACACAGAACACCTGAACGCAGTAGACAGGTGATATCAGAGTGATACAACATTCATAGTCCTGAATGTTTACCTGTGTGTGTGTGTGTGTAGGAGCTGAGTTCCTCTCAGAAGAGTGGAGGAAATCTGCTGCAGATGTTGTACGACAAACCAAGCCGCTGGTCATACACCTTCCAGGTAACTGACATCACACAGCGGGAGCTGGCACACTTATAACAACCAGAGATAATCAACTATGACTATACAACTATTAACCTGTCTGTCTCTCCACCTGTCTGTCTGCAGAGTTATGCGTCTCTCAGCAGAGTTCGTTCTCAGCTTCAGTCTCTGTCAGTCAAACTCAAACAGGCAGAAAATCCTGTACAGTTCTTGGAACGCTCCGTCTATTCAGACAGGTAATACACACACACACACACACACACACACACACACACACACACACACACACACACACACACACACACACACACACACACACACACACACACACACACACACACACACACACACACACACACACACACACACACCTGAGGTGACACAGGTAACACATTCACATCTGTGGCAGGTCAAAACACACCTGAGGCAGGTAACACACACACCTGAGGCTGCTTGCTCTGGACCTGTTTTTGCTTAGAATATTTGTAGAAATCTAAAAGGAGAACCTGAGAGTCTCTTTTTTTTAACACCTTTTTATTGAGTTGGCAGCGTGTATACACACAAATACAATCTCGGAGTGCTTTAACAGAAAATTCATTGCATAGAGTGTTAGACATAATCATGTGTCAAAACTCAATCATCAAAATAAATACACAACTTAACTTGCGATGGTGCAAATGATTTGCATATCTTCATCTGTGTAGACAATTTAAAGTACAAGATATATGTTGTGTTTGTGTATCCACAAGTACATTTACAACCCTACTAACACAACTAAATGCCCCCGTCCCATCCCGCCTCCCACCCCTAATTAGCCTTCCCTTCTACTAGCAAGAATTTCTACAGCTGAGAGAGCTTCAGACAAAGACATGAAGGTCTTTCCTTTTGCACCATGAGACCATGCAACAGAAAGTTCTAAGGACAGTATATCTAACAGCAGTGATTTAATGACAGTGTTTGAGGTGGTTTCCACCACACTACCAGGATTTTCTTTGCAGCAGTTAGGCCAGAGAGCCAAATTCTTTGCTCATGTTCAGTCTGAGACCTTGGAATTGTCATTCAGTAGGCACATTAAAGGGCAACATGGAATCTCCTTACCGATTATTTCTGACAGTGATTTTGTAACTATACAATCTTGTGAACAGAATTCACATAAGAGGAGATGAAGTTAACTTAAGCCTATATCTAGTTATAGGTGTAAAACAAATATAAAAAGAAGGAGAAACCGGGTAATTTATATTATTGTTGTAATTCTTGGAATGTACAGAGACCGTTAGCATTAAACATTTGTCCAAGTAAATGAATTCCATTATTTGACCATATTGGATAAGCCAGTGTCCGACCACCAAGTAACAAATTCTGGTTATGGAATATTGGGGTGTAATAGTTCCACTTTTTGTTATACTTTGTTTGGTTTGTTGCTAGTTTCCATGTAGTCAAAATATTTGAAATTATAGGACCAAATCCCATTTTGGCTTGTTTGAGAGGGACTTCTGCATAAATTAATTCTTGTAGTCTATGTGGAAATACTAAATTCTCTTCTACAGAGCGTCGAGATTTGTGGGGTCAAGCCAAGATTTTAGAATGCGGAGAACGAAAGACCAGTAATAAAGTTTAAAATTAGGGACCCCCCCATCCTCCAGCTGATTTTTCTTTCTGAAGTGTTGTAAGTTTAATCCTTGGTCTTTTATTGTTCCAAAAAAACAAAACGGTAATTAAACTGTGTAATTTATCCCAGTATCCAATAAGTATATTCAGAAGAAGCATAGAGGCAAGGAAGTTAATTTGAGGTGATACCATCATTTTTATTATTGAAATTCTGGCATCAAAGGATATAGGTTTTGATGTCCATTTCTCTAAGTCTGTTTTAATCTTATTGAAAACTGTAGTGTAATTTGTATTGACAGTCATTTCTAAAGTTGGAAAAATGTAAACTCCTAGGTATTTAAGTTGATTAACAATCGGGTTATTAAATAAGTTTAAATCATCAAGGCTACTTAAGGGTAAAAGAGCTGACCAATAGGGTCCAAAGGTAGTCCCATTCGAGTCTATGGAATGCATTTTTGGCACGAGAGATATAATTCCACGAGGTCAGGCGGTCTGAAGAATCTGGAGTTGAATGTAAAATGTGTAATATTCTTCTTAAATTGTCAGAGCTGAAGCGGCCTTTCACACAGCCTGTTTGATCACTGTTAAATCGGACAAGGTGATATTCAGCTACCACTAACAATTCGATAGTCGGTTAGTGTAGTCACCGTGGGCCATCAGTTTAAATGCTCGAGATCTTCAGAAAACATATATTATCCACTTCACGCACTGTGCAGCCTTAAGAGTTTACAGAAAATGTAGCATAGTCGCATAGCCTACAAATAGACACATAACTAACATATATTCCAGAAATTATATTAGCTTTAAACGACAGAAATACAGATGAAACCTGCGTATGAATATTAATAACACATTCAACACTACAGTCAATTATATTGTCCTGCAGAGGAGAGTTGGTCACCTGTGGTGTTTCACTTCCACCTGTGGGGCCCTCTGGTATAGGGTACAGGTTAGAACTGTTTGTAAATATTTTCTGCCTCCTCCACACTTTTTAAAAGCATAGTTTCCTTACCGATGGTTAGCTTGCTGGATGCAGTAGACAGTTAGGGATACCTCTTTTGTAGGACCTGAGAGTCCCTGTAAGCTTGTGTATCATGTCAACAGGTACGTGTTTGCATCTAACCTGTTTGAGAGCGGTAACCTGTTGGAGACAGAGTGGAATGTCTATCAGGACTGGCACACCTGGTTACTGAACCAGTTTGAAACGGACATCGCCCTCGACGCCATCATCTACCTGAGAGCGCCACCACAGGTACAACTGCTGGACTATTAACAATCCCAATGCTATGAGTCCTACTGTTGGGACAGGTTTAAGTACAGGTGTAAGCAATAGGAATGCAAGTACACTTGATAATTACAGGTATATGAGTACAGGTAAACCATAAAGATCATCAGAGTACACCTGTATTTATCCTGCATTACACCTGTACTCATCCTGCATTACACCTGTACTCAGCCTCTTTGTTTTTCTCTGTACGTTTCAGCGCTGCGTTCAGTTTCACTATTTTTCTCTGTACGTTTCAGCGCTGCCTTCAGGCTCATTGTTATCCCCTCTGTACGTTTCAGCGCTGCCTTCAGGCTCACTGTTTTTCTCTGTATGTTTAAGCGCTGTATGCAGCGTTTACTGCACCGTGGCCGTGAGGAGGAGCAGGGTATTCCTCTGGAGTATCTGGAACAGCTTCACTTCAAACACGAAGCCTGGCTCTACCACAGAAATCTAAGGTAATTACTGAGCATGCTCACAACACAGAAACGTTACTGAGCATGCTCAGTCTTTATATAAGTTACTGAGTGAGCGCTCTGTCTGCAACATCTTTGATTTGAAACTGATTCTCTGCAATGTTTGGCGGTGTGTT